CTATTGGTGGGGTTTTAGAGGGTGCAAATGGAGCTTGGCTGTAAGGCTGGAGTTACTGTGTCTTGTTAGGTGAGACATGAATTAAAACTCCCACCAAAGTATAAAGAGGCCCAAATTCAGAACTAAATCGCAACGTCAAACATCACAAGAACCTGCCAAGGATTGTCCTCCAAAGACAATTGGGACTTCCGAATGTTTCCTGTTTGTGCCGTGGGAAAATCCTTCCCCTGGGAAAGTCAGGAAATTAATGCCAATTGTTATGTGTTGCAAACCCTGTGGGCACAACACTGGACCTTCTCTGGGGGTGTGCTCCTACCCACGTGAAGATATCCAGACCAGACAGAGAGGGTGTGACAGGGGAGAATGGCTGAAGGAAAGGAAAAAAAAAGAAAAAGAAAAAAGACCTTCGTATCTCTATTTCTGTACATTGCTGGGTGGTTTCCGCATTGGGAATGGACTCCTTGCTGTCCCCACCTTCTGTTCTCCACATAGGCTGCTGCCTATCGGCCTTGCTGGTTCAAAAGTCACTCTCTATTATCTCCCCTTCAGATCTCTCCACCAGCAAGCCCCTGAAATGCTGCCCTCTTTCTACATTATTCATACTATAATAATGTAATTTACATAAAATTCAGAGCTCCAGGACTGCTCCAGCAATGTGTTTCAACTGGCTTTCCGTGCCTTCACGGAGGAGACTACACAGCCCCTTCATTTATCCCACCATCAAACCAGAAGTCTCCCCAATTATCAGTATATTGTGATTGTATGTTTGATCAATTTCAGACTGCAGAAGTTGGTAAAAATCTTTAATTTCTCATCTTTGGCTTCGTGGTTGGTGTGTAAATTTGAATAGTAATCTTATCACCTAATCTTCCTTGGTAGGCATTGTACTTCAGGATAGATCTTGAAATGTTCCCTTAAATGATGAATGTGACACCATTTCTCTTCAATTTTTCATGCTTGGCATACTAGACCATAGACTTGTCATGATTCGAAATGGCCAATGCCAGTCAATTTCAGCTTGCTAATGTCAAGCATATTGATCTTTAAGCATTCCATTTTATTTTTGATGGCTCCCATTTTCTAAAAAATTCATACTTTGTATGTCCCACATTATTCATGGGTGTTTATAGCTGTTTCTTCCCATCTTGAGTCATGCCACATCAACAAAAGTAGGTCCTTAAAGCTTTGCTTCATCCATATCTTTAAGGTCCACTCTACTTTGTGAAGGCAGCCTCATTCCAGTCTTCTTTTGAATGCCTTCCAACCTGAGGGGCATACTCTCAGACAGTGTTCCACTGAACACTCGTCAGGTTTTCAGCAGCTAGTTTTTCAAAAGTGGACTGTTTCTTCATTTAAGTCTGGAAGTTCATCTGAAACTTGTTGGTGTTTGACCCTGTTAGTATTTGAAATACCAGTGGCATAGTTTTCAGCATCACAGCAACACACAAGTCACCTGAAGCATTAGTGGTGGTATTATATATAATATGTTGTTGTTGTTGTTAAGTGCCGTCGAGTCGGTTCCGACCCATAGCGACCCTGTACAGGGTTTCCGAAGGTGTAAATCCTTATGGGAGTAGAAAGCCTCATCTTTCTCCCGCGGAGCGGCTGGTAGTTTCGAACCGCTGACCTTAAGGTTCGCAGCCCGATTCGTAACCACTATGCTACCAGAGCTCCTTATAGAGAGAGTGAAAATATACCTGTATAATACATGTGGTGGTGGTGATGTGCCGTGGAGTTGGTTTCAATTCATAGTGACTCTGTTCAGGGTTTCCGAGGCCGTAAATCTTTACAGGAGCAGAAAGCCTCATCTTTCTCCCACGGAACAGCTGGTAGTTTCCAACTGCTGACCTTGTGGTTCGCAGCCCGATTCGTAACCACTAGGCTCCCAGAGTTCCTTGTGTAATACATAGCATATGATAAATTGACAGATGAGTGATGTTATCATATATATAATATAGCGTACGTTACATATATCAAATAAATTATATGTAAATATGTGTTAGTAAGTGTGTAAGTATACACTTATACAAGTGCTTAAGTATAAGGAGACCTGGTGACACAGTGGTTAAGGCATTTGGCTACCAACCAAAAGATTGGTGGTTCCAACTCCCCAGCCATCTGTGGGAGAGAGATGTAGCAGTCGGCTTCCATAAAGGTTGGCAACCTTGGAAATCCTATGGTACACTTCTATAATGTCCTTCCTGTGGGGTGTGTAAGAGTTGGAATGGACTCAATGGCAGGAGGTTTAGTTTTGAGTTTTAATGTTTTACATATTCCTATATATCTCAAAGACTTCTCCCTGCCTTAGTAAAAATGGTGAGACTTTCTTACACGGGTGAAATGATGCCTTCATTTTAGTCACTGATAAAGTTCACTCATAGAGAACTGTTGTTGTTAGCTGCTGTCAAGTCAGCGCCGACTCATAGCGACCCTGAGAACAACAGAACGAAACACTGCCGGGTCCTACGCCATCCTCACAACAGTTACTCTTGACAATTGCTGTGACTCTTGATCTTAGAGAATAACTAATAAAAATGTCTGTCTTAAGTATATGAAAATTTCCCGGACTCACGTGGTGAGAGTATTCCTATTTCCCAAGTCACCATAATTGGCAAGACTATGAAAATCCGAAAACTGTGGCCAACCTGCTATGTTAAATGTTAAATGCATTTTACCTTTCCTCTCCTCTTCTCATTTGTCTCTTGCTTTTTGTATCAATACCTAGCTAATTGATTAGCTAATTAATTAATTGCCAGATTTGTAAGGATTTGGCTCTTGAGTATGTAGGGAAAGGAGACTACAGAAGGTTTTCCGGAGGCGGTTTTGTGCAGTGTCGAGCCGGTCCCCATATATGATGGGAGCTTCATGCAGACATCATATCAGCACCTATGTAAGGAATGTAGAGGAGGGAGTGAAGAGGAAGAGCTTCTTGAGTAGAGTGTTTGAGCTCATTCTGGGGGATGGATGGGTGTTGGTATTCCAGAAGAGGGAAAGTCCGGAGATGGTGAATGCATGCCTGTGTTGGTCAGGAGATTAGGACTGCGATGCTTGTAGTCACAAGCCCTTGCTCTGTCTTTGGATTATAGGTCCAACCCGAAAGATGCCCCCCAACGCCAGTGCCATGGACTTCTTCCAGCTCTTTGTCCCCGACAATGTTCTCAAGAACATGGTGGTACAGACAAACATGTATGCCAAGAAGTACCAGGAGCGATTTGGGAGTGATGGGGCCTGGGTGGAGGTGAGCCTGAGCGAGCTGAAGGCTTTCCTGGGCTACATGATCTCCACCAGCATCTACCACTGCGAGTCCGTCCTCAGTATTTGGAGCAGCGGTTTCTACAGTAACACAAGCATCGCCCTGGTCATGAGCCAGGCCCGCTTTGAGAAGATCCTCAAGTACTTCCATGTTGTGGCCTTCCGCTCCAGCCAAACCACACATGGCCTCTACAAGGTCCAGCCCTTCCTCGACTCCCTGCAGAATGGCTTTGACTCTGCCTTCAGGCCTTCCCAAACACAGGTGAGGCTCTGGCTCTGTGGGGGTCAGCCAGGACATTGGGGAGGAGCAGCTGAGGTTCCCTGTGGGCCTGCTTCTTCCATCACTACCTGCCTATCCCCTCTCACTTTGATCCTGAGGTCACTTGTAAATTATCTCTGCTTTTTCCATTCGATTAGCCCAAATGTTAGATCAGAGAGGAAAAGTAGTATTAATAACTCTAAATTTTGATGGAACTTCCCTCAAAACTGTTCTACTGGTCTGGCCAATTGGGAGACGGCAAATTTCTAAAGATGTTTATAACCAAAACTTCTGTGGAAAGCATAGCCTAGAATGTTCAGTCATGGTGTTCTTGGCCAGCTTTTTCTTCTAGACCCTTCTTAGTCAACCTCACATTTTGTCTGATGTTCTGTTCTAGATCCTTTCCCGAGCTTTATGGTATCCTACCTACACAGCTGAAAGCCACAGGGTTTTTGTGGGGGCGAAGATAGTGCCTAATTTCCAAACTCTGGAAATCTGAAAGCTGTCTCTGAATTGTTCTCCCTGCTGTTCTATGAATGGGCTCTTAAGGAATTCGAGGTGTTTGCTCTGCTCTGTAGGAATCATGGAATACGTTTTCCTCTTCTCTTTGCCTTTGCAAATTGATTCCATTTCCAAGGCCCAATATCAAGCCCACTTTCCCATGTTGGTTCTGTTTCCTGAATTTCCTATCATTATGGTGTAACCTGATCACCATTGGGATCAAACATTTGAGGAGTTGCTAGAGAAGACGGTGGAGACTCTGTCCCTAATAGTCTTTCAAGAATCAATCAACCAGCTATTTGGATGATTGATATATAATAGGCTGAAGATCTGGTTACTGAAGAACCTTTCAGCCCCAAGAGTAGGCCACATGACTTTACCCTCATAACCATTTCAGTCAGACTTGTGAAGGGGCTCCTGGGAGCCAGCCCCACGTCATCTGTAAATCACGACAGTGTAGTATCAGATCATCTGTGACCCAGGTCAGGGTGGCACAGAGAATTGATCATTGTGCCTTTTGCAATATACTTGGAGCCTGTGGTGCCCTCTGGCACTCAGCAGTGCCCACTAGCAAATTCTGAGGTGTGTACGCTCCGCATTCCTGGCTTCTGGACCTCTGTGCCGCAGGTAAGGGATCTGTAGCTCCCTGGGTGGGTCAAACGGCTGAGAAAGCAGCTCTTGGCTCAGATGGGCAATGGTGGGCGTGCCGGGAACAGGAAGAGTTTTACCGTTTTCTTTTCTTCTGGTTGATGAGGTTGAGGGAGAGGAGGGCTTAGATGAGCTTCAATTTAGGAGTAGAGTTCCTGTTACAATTTTTGTTGCTTCTTCTTCTTTTTTTTAACTCCTTTATTTCATTTCATTTCATTTTTATTTTTTTATTCTATTTTATTTCATTTCATTTTCACAATTCCCGTCCCCAAGAGTCTCTGGATGGCACAAATGGTTAAGCACTTGATTACTAGCTGAAAGGTGGGGGTTTGAACCTACCCAAAGGCACCTCAGAAGACACGCCTCCTGCTGATCTTGAAAAGTCAGTGGAGTCATTCTGATTTGCACACGTGGCATTGCCATGAGTCACAATCAACTTGATATAGCAACTAACAACATCTTTTTCTTTACTTTGCCTTTCGATTTTTTTAGTTCTTTTTGTCATCACTGCATTTGCAAAGTTAAATTCTAGTTTTGGACTACTATTTCTACCCCATACCCCTATGTCTGGGTGAAGACCCCAGCTAGAAACTAGTGGCAGTTTCTCAACTAAAGAGGCAGTTGAAGAGCATTTAATGCCAAAATGACTGGCGATGGCTAAGGGAAGTCACAAGGGTGGAGCCCCCTTAGTGGGAATCTGCTATCACATGGGGAAAGGATTAGGAACAGACAGAACCGGGCCAGGAAAACAGCCAATAATTGATTTCATGACCTCTTGCTGTTCTTGCTCTTTAATCTTTTCCTGATGCCCCGCTTGGCCAGACAAGTCAGGAGCTATAAGCAGAGAATCCTGGTAAGAGGTTGGCCCCCAACCACAGAGCAGTATGAGGAAGCAGTGACACTGGAGAGCTGAATAGAGCATGCCCAGGATGCATGGAGAATGAGAGCGAGGCAGAAGGCAGGGACAGGGCTGGCCTGAGGCCGTGAAGACTGCCTTGCTCCACTTGGAATTTGCTTTCTTTCGTCTTCCTTCAATCTTTGGGAGCAGGGTAAACCAAGATCAGAGTAGACCTTTCGGTGCCTCCTTATACACTGCAGAACATGACTGGATTTTGAAAACGAGCAGGCCTTTATGCCACCTGGGAGTTTTTACAAGTCCCCCTGGCCCAGTGCTTCCCCAGACAAGTGGTTTGACCCCATTTACTGTGAAAAGCACACATCTTTCTGTATGGAAAAGGACCTCATTTCCCCCAATGTCCGGCACTGACGAGTGTATACCTCGTTTCTGTTCGTATGTTCTTATCCAGACTTGTGTCTGCATTTTAGGGAAGAAAGTATTTCTACTCTATGCCCTGATTGAAGGAACTAGAAGTTTTAAAGACTTCTTGGTTGTCCAACATTCCACCTCTGGGACAATACTTATTTGATCTCTAGATCCGTTTCTGGAGGCCAGAACTGGACGTTGAGTTTGACTGTAAGTTGCAGTCGATTGCTTCTAAACCACACACAACTTTTCATGGTCCTCATTCCTACCTTCTGAGGACAGTCAAAACAATGTTCTTTCCACCCTCTTCCATCATGTGTGTAGATGAATTTGCTCCCGATTTCCAGGAATCTTTGTCCTATACTCCACCCTCAGCACACACACACACATACACACACACACACACAGAGCCTACTTACCTCACACACTCACGTTCTCTCCCCTGAAATCTCTGGAGCCTGATTTCATTTCAGTAAATGTGACCTTTGTGATGATTTTAGGAGTCCTGGTGTGGCACTGTGGGTTAATGTGCTAGACTGCAAAGTCTGTTTGAACCACAAGGTTGGTGGTTCAAGCTCACCAGCTGCTCCTCAGAAACCCATACAGGGTTGCTGTGGTTTGGATCTGACAACAGCAACAATAACATCTTTTCAAGAGGGTTCCCATAATTCAATGGCAACCAAGGCAGTGAGGGTGTATGTGTGTGCGTACACACAAATACAAAATGGAGAAATACTGTGTTTCCTTAAAATTGGCAACAGAGCAACTAGAGGAATATTTTAGGGGAAGAACTATGCAGTTAAAAAGCCAATGTTTTGTCTTTCTCCTGCCACAACCACCTGCCACGTCCCAAAGTGAGTTCGCCATACACAGAAGGGGAATAACCTAAATGCTGGTCAGGTGCAATCTGGAAGAGAAGACTGGTGCTCTTACAGCATGCGTAGTTTTCCGAACTCTAGGGAGCCTCCCGCTGTGTGCTGGATTTAGTAAAGGCCTATTCATGATTCATTTAATGATTAGAAAAAGAGAAAAGAATCATTGAAGGTCAGAAAGTCTTGCTGGCTTTTTGCTTTGATGTTTAAATGCAAGCGGAATATAGGTGTATTTTCTTTCTAGAGATGAGCCCAATTTTGTTGAATACGACCTCAGAGAAAGGAGAATAGGATGCGATTCTTTGGTAGGGATAATTGGGCAGGGAACACGCAGGCAGCAAAGGGCTTTAGGCCATTTCATTTTATCTCTGTATGTTCCATTCCTCACCACAGTGTGTGGGACTTGTCCATTTTTCTAAAGCGATTTCAAATGGAGCTCTGAACATTTTATAGCTACAAAGAGCCAGCAAGTGCATGAAGTCAGGCATTGGGGTTTGGAGGCACTACAATGAGGTAGCTCCTCCAGTCTTCCCTTCATTAGCACAAGATCGGATTAATGGGTTAATGTCACCATGCATACAAAAACCCTGAGGGATGCAAGTATGGACAGCTAAGACTGAAAAATCCAATTCTGTTATTTTTTGTTTTTAAGTGGAGTTCAAGGTAACATTAATAGCAGAATGGAAGAACACTGCCCAACCCACAAGTGAGGATAAGCCTGAACTTCTATTCTGTCCTTTCAGAACACATTTTGGAGCTTTGGGGCTCAGGGTCGCCTATGGAACAGCAACAGGGCATTACCTGGAAGCTTGTTGGACATACAGAAGAAAACTCAGTCCCTGTCCCAAAGTCCCCTAGCTGCATCTGTACTGTAATAAGATCCCCATAGGGTTCATTTTTAAAGTTTGAGAAACACTGATCTAGTCTAGGGATTAGCTAACTTCTTATGTGGTGCTGATGATGGTGGTGGTGTGCTGTAGAGTCGGTTCCCATTCATAAGGACCCTTTTATAGGGTTTCCGAGGCTGTAAATCT